GCGAAATACAGCCAATGTTTGACATATTCATTAGGGGGTTAAAATAATAAAAGTGGAAAAACAATTCTTCCATAATGAAGTTTAATCTGCTATTTACCTTTATAAAAAAATTGCGAGTCTTTACAGTTGATAATCAAATACAGTTCTGGGCTCGGGTAAAAAGTATATTTTTTTACATAGTGATGAAATTACAGAATTTTTTTAACGAAAAATCGTATGAAAAGTGGTACTTTTTTCACGATTTTTACATGGAGTTTAGTCCTGTCTATGAACAATAGCATCCATTTTTGAGAGACAGTAAATCGCGAATGTCAATAAAATTATTCAATTGTGGGTCATAAATTATGGATCACTACGCAAAAAAATTTCGTGCTGCAAATTCATGGAAAAAAGTATCACTTTTAAAACTAGTTGTACAAAAAACTATTTCGTTATAATTTTTGTCTGCCAGCCGACTTAAACGGTAACGTTGCAGATGCTCTTAAGCTGTAAAGGAAAGTGTTCATTTCTTTGTATTAATTTTAAGTGGTCTTTTCGTCCTCTTTCGAGGTTCATTTTACTGCCCTGTGTAACAGGCCTCACGTTACAGCACCACGTCGGGGCGCCATTTTGTAACTGATGGTTACAACATACCGATGGTTCACTGTGTATATTCTTTTCTTTTCTAAGCATCGTTGGTTAAGTATTTCGAAACTTACCTTAATTATACTTTGTTACTTCTAGCTAGCTCAGGTAAATAAATAATAGGGTAGTTTAGTTAATTCCGAAATTGAGAAATTCAGAAATTGATACTCCACTATGCTCAGAGGAATTCCGTAACTTTCATCATTTGGTGTAAGTACCTCAGAATTTCATACCTTTTGTTAGTAAAGAGTATTATGACAGTAAATATTATTTATAATTTACAATTATTTATAACAATATAACACAAGGGCATCGAAATAAGTACTGACTGAAATACGTTACAATTTGCTTATATAGTAAACGACAATTGTTCTCGAACGATTCGGAAAGTTCTTTGATGTTTTCGAGTTCTCAAGAACGCTTCAGAATATTACATGTAACGTCTCTTACGTCACATCCGCCTTCGTTCCTTATCGCCAATGGCTCATTCTTCATGGTGCCTCGATGTCTATCGAGATTCCTGGAATGTTCGCTACACTGTCCCCCTCTTAAAACTTGTTGTAGCGGAGACACAGTCCTAGGCAGTCCTGAACTTGATGGCGGTATTTTCACGACGACCCCCTTGTGCATCTTTCATTCTTGAAAAAAAAAACCATCCACCGTCTTACGAAACAGTTGTGGGGGTCCTCTGGGATTAAAACAACAGACTAATACTTTCACTCCGATGTCTTAATAATAATAATAATTTATTGTCCGTTATCAACGTGATTGACATAGATAATTTGGTATGAAACACACATATACCGAGACATATACATACAAACTACAAAAGAAAGAAGTATAAGTTGTGCACAACTCTTGTGCAGATATAGCGCATTTTTTTAAACCGAAATAGCTTTTGTTTTGACACCACCAATGGATATATTACTTGCAGACGTCTCAATCGCCCTTTGTAAGTGCCCTCTTCCGACAATCCGTTCTTGAGGTATAAGGGGATATACACGATCACAATAAGAGGTCGAGGAGGAGGGCTATGGTTGGTAGAAATTAATTCCTTTCGTTAAGACCTTTCATTAGAGTACCATGAAGGATAAAACTAGTTCCACTCCCCTCCCCCACTCCCCTCCCCCTCTCCCCCTACACTCGTTACTTGGATAAGAGGACAGAAAGAAAGGCGTTAGTTGGTAGAAAACGGTTCCTTTTGTTGAGACCTTTAATTAGAATACAATGAGATAAAATTAATTTTTAACCCCCCACCATCAGGCCCTGTCGTTCCCTGATCTCGAAAAAGAGTTGCACGGGAAAGTTAAAGAAAGTTTAACTTAGCACCACTAAAGGCATGGGTATGGAAAATCTGAGACCAATTGGTTGTCGTATGTAAAAGCTATGCACGTTTTACTTTCAAAAACAGCATCACAGGAAATAATTCGTTGGGGGAGGGGGGGGCCCTTTTAGACAGCGAAATTTGATGGCCGTCTGGCACACCTTCAAGGTACAGGCTACCTATTGCAAAAAAATCCATGACTAGGACCATTCCCCTAGAAGTAGTTCAAAACGATAGAAGTGGGTCCGGACGGACGGACGGACAAAACGCAAACAATAGCACATTTTTTTGTTAATTCTTAAAAAATGCGCTAAAAATATAAATATTAAGTATATCCCAGGGTATTTGCATTTATACATGTCAGTTGCTTTGTAAAAACATTGGTCTATTAGGTAGTTTTTAAACGAGGGTGGAAAGAGGGCGGAATTGTCCTCCTTTCCCTCCTCGAAACGCACTTAATCGACTGGCCCGCGTAAAACATACGGGGTCCGTCAAGCATCTTTAGCAACACTAGTACCTAATATGTAATTATGCTTGACTCAGTTTTTTGCATACATGATGAGCATGAGTCCATGGTAAATCATCGTCAATAAGGGTACTTAGTATACTGGCTAAAGTTAAGGGTGGAAGACATAATTTCCAGCTTGGATTTACCAAAATACATACACACCGTTTTGTTAGTATTTAGCACTAGTTGGTTCGACTAAGATTTTAAATTGCAAAATCATTGGAATTCCTTATCTGAATTGTAGACTATTTTTATATAACTCTAGTGTTTTCTTCGAGAATTTCACGGGATCCAGGTAAATACAAGTTTCATTATCCTGAAAATTTCCTTAGTACTCGAGGCAATTTTGTACAGGAGTTCAAAGATTCAACTGTATCACCCCAAAAGCGATCCAGTTTTAATTTTTCTAGCGAGGGAGCTGTTTCAAGGGAGGGCCGTGCTATTTGTAACTTAAAGAAAAACACCGATTTCTGTAAGTTACTTTAATTTTTTTGCATTTTATAAAGATATCTTTAAGCACTTGCAGGGGATGTTTACTTAACGTAATCATGATATCCCTAAAGGAACGGATCTGTGTTTTATTAGTACCGTAGAGGGCCAGTTTCATTTAGTACGAATGTAATTTTTTTTTAAATCTTCACATGAGTTATTAACTCTGCGTCTGCCACATATTGTAAATATATTAGAGGGCTCAGTAGCGACCCTTGGGGGACCTCTAGATTGACTTTAAATTTGTTTGAATATACACCGTCACCGTCCTCATATAACTGTCTGTTTGAATTGGTTATTTTTTTTGCCTTTATTTTTTATTTTTTCTTAGTTAAAAATTTCTTTCACAAAGGACGTCAAGTGCTGCTGATTTGCTCACAGTTATGATAGAGGATGCCACGATCACAGCATTCACATGGTGAAACCACACCTTCTAGGAGCTTGACTGAAAATTAACTAAATTATTGCGTCATTGACTTTCACGATCATAAATCCCTCGTCTTTTCCTTAAACGTTATAAAAAATGTCATCAAAATATGTGGGCACATAAATAAATATCATTTTTTAAAGCTTTATATCGACTAATTTAGTATCAACTCACTGGAATCCATTAGAATTCTATTTAGGGAGTTACTGGAATTCAATGGAATTGTTTGGAATCATTGGAATTTTTTGGAATTCAATGAAATTTTTTTGTAAATTTTAGATTTTTTTACATTTTTGGGATTCTGGTGTACACATTTTTGCTCAATGGTATATCCCCTGCAAATTTCACGTTTTCCAATTTTTCACACCGAAAAAAATTTAAATTCCCTTTTTATTATTTTATTACAATCTTGCGACCCCCTCCTCCTATGACTAAGAGGGTTCATCTATTAATTTGAATGATCCCCTCTTCAAATAATGAGTACATTTTCTAAGCCCACAATGGCCAATTAACTTTAAAATGGCGATGTCTGCATTTTTAATTGGTCGGTGTCTTTTTCCTATCGTTCCCTATCCTTAATAAAAAAAAAAGGCTGCAGTCCGATCCACCTGCTATCTAGACGCCAAAACCAATTAGGGAACAAAAGCTCATGACACATATTCCGTTGACTCCAATAATCCAGATAAATTCTTTACATTATCACGACCAAACTTTGTTTGAGAAGCAACTTCAGAACCCTGACATGTTTTACAGCCCTAAAAATCGAGAATATCGAATCGAACCTAATGTGTCCCTTACAACAAAGCTCAAAAAGTTCGCGATCAATGTGACTTCCAAGAATTAAGATTATCCCCCCTCCTATACACAGGGTAATTTAACATCCTGCGATTACTACGTTTTCCCCAAGTTAGTAAACACTTACGAGGCCAACGATTTCCTTGTGATGATGACCTGAAAATTGTTGTTAATGAGCTAGGTACCAAAAATATTTATTGATTGTAGAAACGTTGGAATAAATGTGTAGAGGTTGAAGAAGCATATGTGGAAAAAATAAACTCAGTATTTATATATCTATCTAAAATTGTCCCCTCGTAGTTTGTAATATTTCAGTTTGATAGGAAGGCTTGGTGTTGCCTTTAGACCTGTTTCTTCCTATGGCATAAATTACTGAGTCATAATTTATACTTAAGGCATCTTGTATAATATTTTACAGTACCTGGTGCTTCAGGCCTTCATTACTTACTAACAACTTTGCAGTCATGAACTACCCCATGCGTGGTTCTTCGCTGAAAGTGTAAACAAGTAATCCCCATTATTTCTACTCCATTGGTTAGATCAGTATATGAACTCAGTTTATGTTAGTTTCTATAAGGCATCGATCGGAAAAGTTCGCCCTGAAGAGGAATATTATATACAAATCTTTGGTTATAATAAGCCCCTGAAAATCGCTGTTGTTGTCAACTGCAATAAACGTTCTTATTCCGGCTTCTTAATTGGTCCAATAAATTTCTTGTATCCTACCCGTAAACAGATCGATGGGCGATAATGAATATTAACTTTCTTGAGGAAATTTATGCATCTTGAAAGCGAGCGTATTAATGAAAGCCATTCGTAAACTAAACTGCGTAACCTACTTTTATTTACAATTTAAATTTAACACTGAATAACAAATATTACTAACTACGTATGGTAGCAAATTCAAATATACATACTTAATAATGATTATGGCTAGGGGAAGAAAGTATATTTCCATTATTTACAATATAACTACTTTTCTTCCGCATAGAAACGTTGATGTGTCAGCTATTATGTTGCAGCTGAATAGGGGCATCTTTAATCCTTGCATAATTGCGATGATGCCCTAACCGACAAACTTTTATGTAAATTTACCCTGATGCAAGAAAATTATTTATTTTTCTGTATGTCGGCTAATGAAGCCATCCATACAATAACTTTATCCGTAAAGCTCGCATATACGTACCGATGTTATTAAAATCAATGGTTTATCTAAATTGAAAAACCGACCGAGGGGGTATATTTCTTGCAATTCTGTTCTATTTGACATTAATTCAGTACCTATTGTAGCCGACTCAATTACGGTTCTGGGTAGATTTAGCTTTAATTAAATCCCGAGCTCCAACTTTAATTATTTTTATAGAGAATGTGGACGACAGCAAATTCTCCTTTTGTAAGCACATAATAATAACTGACACTCAACCATAACAATATTTACATAGGTAATTGCAGCACAGTTTGTCTTTAACGCACCCACGTTTATTTATGTACCTATATGTACACACCAAAGTATCTCTAATTAGAGCACTGCATATATATTTAAGCACCTTACCTTTAACGTTACCGCAAAATGAGTCCCAGCAAAACGATACTCATTAAACAAGCGCGACGCGAATTTGTCACCAAACCTGGAACAAATGAACAACATTAAAAGGGCCATTTTTAAATCTTCTCGTTCGACCGTTAATGCCGGACAGTACGCATTTGTTAAAATAATGGTAACTGCCAGCAAAGGCCATCCCTTGCCCTTTCCGAGACGAACGTATTAAAAGCTTCAACCTCTCCGACTGATTCTAAATTGCCCTCTTAGAATCCTAACTAAAATTCTGGATGCGTTTTTCTTCACAAAATGGAAAACGATAAATAAACTTTTTTGCATACTTCAACCGTCGCGAATTCGTAAACCTGCCCCGTCGACCTACGGCGGCATTCTTCCTCTAAATAAAATATGCCCTTAATTAATAAGGATTGTCGGTGATCCCCTTAAAGTTTGAATAACTAATATCGCGGCTTTTTTCGGATTGGGGAATACAAGGCGAGTTGGGGATTTTGTGTACCTAAGCGTGAGCGGTCGTCGAGAAAATGTAAGAGGAGAATTTGCGGTCTGCTAATTAATCACTTTGGGTTATTTTTAAACAAAACGCAAATTAAGATGAAAAGCTTTCAGGTGAAAATTACGTTAAAATGGTGCGCAATTAGTTAAATTGAATCTTAACTGCGTTTTATTTAATATGGCAGCATTTTACAAGTATCTGTGACTACTCAACTGCTGATTCGGGATCACCAGAAAGTAAAGTGTAAGGGAAAAGTGTAATTTTAAAAAATCACATCACATCCTTCTACTTTAGTCCTAGCATTTACCCCCGCACTCCTAGACCCCTCTGGAAAACTCGTCCCGGAAAATTCGCCCTCGGAATATTCGTCACGGAAAACCCTTAATGCACTCGAGGTTTTCATTTTGGGAGAATATGTTTCAGAACTTGTAAAAATTTTCGAGTTTAATTTTATAGATCGACAAAAACATTAATTTTGTTTTGAGGTTTTTAGTTTAGGAAGATATTTGAAATACGTTTCGAAATTTTCCAGTTTACTGGGATTTTCTGATCGTCTCGCTTTACGGTTGGAGTACCCCTCAAGCAAAATACCCCGTTTTGACGTCTTTTTGTTTTGAACCGTCTGTGTCTGCTAAAGGTGGACTTAATCAATCATCCTTTTGTGTAAGGTTTATCGTGTATGGTCCCATAGGATGTACTTTATCAGCATTAGGTCCGATGGCGATTCGGCCACGTCTTTTATACAACTGTCCTCAAGAGGAAGTGTCCGATTATTAAACTGCACCTTGACCTTGAGGAGCAGACCGGGAGTGAGCAACCTTTGATCGATATCTTGACCTACTTTTCAAGACTTCTCAAGAGAAGAGGTGCGCCCACCATCTGAACTTGAATTCATTTTCAAGGTCACCACCAGGGTGCCAAAATTGCCAAAATTAGTAACTTGATCCTCGAAAAATTGCTGAAATTCCTTGAAAATTAAATATGATACCCACCTTAAAAAATTTTACGAAGTCATACACCTTTGTTTACTTTGAAAATCGAATTTGAGACCAAAAAATTGTTGAAAATGACAGAGAGAGAAGTTTGGTGGTCAACGACTGATCGAACAGAGCTTCAATTCATTTTCCGATGTCACCACGGAGCACTCGAGATGGACCGGAACGGACCTTTTAAGTTTCGCGTTGACCTACCGTCCAAGGCCACCTTGAGATACAGAAAAACCTTTGAACTTCACCTCCAAGGTCATGACCTTTAAATTTCATAAAGTGGCTAGGCGGCCGAGTGGCGAGCGACCTCGATTTGATCGAGAACGAGCCCTATATGACTACTCCAGGTATATTTGATAGAGATAGTGAGCGCAAACTTTCCGTGGATAGACGTTTTAGGGGTGAATATTCAGGGCGTGTATTTTTCGGGGGCTAATGTTCCTGGCGAAGGATATTCTAGAGGCGGGGCGGGGGCAAGTTTTAGGGAGCCGAATTTATGGCACAGGGTAAGCAGCATGTCCACATTATCGCCGGCTCAACTCTCCAAAAATTGTAGTAGCCTGATGAAATGAGTTACAGCAAACAGCATCCGATTGGGTCATGGGTGATTTCAAAAGAAGCGCTCTTAATTAATTTTAAGATCAATTGCAGATTTTTTGGTTTGTTGCAGGCCGCACAATTACTAAAAAAAGGTTTCGATTTGTGGATGTGAACAATCGAATACGCCGTGTCCGCTGCAAACACCGTCGATCCCTCCATAAAATGACCGAATTGTATAAGAGGTAAAACCGTGGTTTGGGGGATCTTTTTCGCTTTGGTGTTGTAACCGAAGCGTAGAAAGCTTTTGGAAATTTTTCACTGCACTCGCGCAATTTTTTTTTAGATTTTATCACCGCTTCGTTAACGTTAAATGCAAGCATTTATTCCGTTAATTATATAAGGGGGGTATTTACTTTGCATGTTTTGCTTTTGATTTCCCGGAGCTGCCTCTCATTAATTCATGCTTTGCTGTTTCGGAAGAGAATTCACGGTTTTGCTGTTTGCCGTAATTCTGCTTTTAGATTTTTTACCAGTGACCGCTGCCATATACCTGTGAGATCCGTGGAGTTGGCCGTCTTCTCCAGGTGATCACCCGAGGATTCCGAGACCGTTTCGCAAACCGCTACTACCGCCTACCTTGACCAGGGGCAAGGCCGCATCCTTTAGTGGCGTTCGAGTACGTGAAAAGCGTTTTTTTTGTTTTCAGGTTACTTTTATATTATATTATATTGCGGCACGACAAATTTGACAACTGTTTGCGTCCGTTTTAATTATTTTAGCTCGATTTGCTACATTAGCCGATAAAAAATCCGTTTGTTTCATAACGAACAATTATAGAAGCATAACTTCCGTAAATCTCACTGCGATATTCTGCGCACCAAAAGCTGTATACCCCAAAAATGCCATCGGGTTTACCAAGAAAAAGTAAGCAACTTGTTTATAATCTTATTCTTTATTTTGAACGAGAAAGAAATAATGGGGGTCCACTTATAACAGTCGCTGCAGTAAGAGAGGTGAAATTACGTTTGTATTTTAGCACATCTTACGTTTCAATCCCTTTTGCAAGTTTTAAAAGAAGAAGAAGACGTATTAATAGGTCCAAAAGTTCCTTAAGAAAAGTTGTTGCAAATATTGGTCTCCGCTATCAAAAAGGTAATCCAAGAAAAGGTTCAATAGAGTTACCCAATTTAGCACTGACAAGAGTCAATTTTTTATATGCGATTAAAATATGTACATCATGGTAAAACGAGAGTGCAAAAATCGCAAGAAGAATTAAACCCGAGGGTCACAGCTAACATACTGGTATTGATGAGAAGAATATCATCTTACTATCTAATTTTATGTGGTTTTACGTGCCGAAAGCCTCAATAAAGTACCTTTTTTCTTTTCGTCTTTTTTGTTTACTATACGATACTGTTATTATTATTGTTATAGCTTTGTGTGTATGGAGCAATAAATAAACAAATAAAGATCTTTAATTTTTGCTTCAAAAACAAATGTTCCAGATTACCATAGGGAAATAAACAAGGGCAGTTTTCTGAAGTGGTTTGGGGACAATTTCCTACCAAATTTAGAAAAACCATCGCTAACTAGATTATGGACAATGTTAGTTATCACTACAGTAACTTACTAGAAAACTTCCTTCCTGGACTATAGCACAACTACAGGCATGGCTACAGCACAAAAATGTTGAGTCTCCAAATGGATTGGTGGAGTTGTTACAAGGTTTGTTTCCTATTCCATGCAGCATGGTTTATTAGTAGTAATAGTTTCGAGACTAAAAATGTGTTATTTCAGAAACAAACCTTCAAAACGGTATAGTACTGATGAGATGGCGTTAGAAAATGGACATGCCGTACTACGGAATTTGCAAACAACATTAAGATTTGAAGTCAACAAAATGGCTGGTCAAAGGCGCCTGCGGTGTTTTAAAATTCATGGGAAGATCCGAAAGGAAAAAGGGTTAGGCGAAAGTTTATCGCCATTGCAACGTTCAACAACCAGTTGGAATGATGCGAGTTGATGTTTTGGAAAAATATGACGTTCCTAGAATCTTGGGGTTCGTGACTTTTATTGTTACACAAATTAAAACGTTTTTTGAATTTTCTTTTGCGTTCGTTGTTTTTGTTAATTTAGTTCATGTGAGCTATCTCAGGGTTTTTGTCCCGAAGAAGGTTTCCGTGACATTGCCTGGTTGTGTGCGTAATATATATTTTATATGTTCTTTTCTAGCGTACAAAATTATGAGTCTTTACTCGTTTTTACTCTGCTCGTGAGCATGGGGTAAGTCAAGATTGCAGTTGCTTCTCGACTTCTACTGCCAAGTACTACGGGCATTGTTATTGCGAAAAAACAATTAATATGGTTTATTAAATGTGCTTTACGTCCAAATAATAATGTCCACTTTGTTAGTAAAAGATCGCGACATAGACAGCCTGTTACCTGTTAACTCGTTATTGCTCAAAGAAATGCCAAAATATTTAATTCAAACTTATAATTAATTTTTTAATTACATTAAATATTATACAACTGAAAACTTACCTGCGACATTACTGCGCGTTCCCAGCACCGAAGAAGGTCTCGGTTTCGGCCGTTCCTCTTCTAAAATAACCTCCGTTTGCGATTGATATATGTTAAATAGCGACGCCAGACATTGCAAACGCACCTTCCCTTCGTAGAAGGTGTTGGCGTCGATTTCCAGTTCGAACCTCGCGACGGTGATTTTAGGCATACGTTGACTTTCGCTAGCGTTCGGATCGGGGAGATACATCACCGAGGTTGCATTCACCTATAAATAAAAGAAAACCGAAAAAAAGGAAAGAAAAGAAGATGAATGTTTTCAATTTGCTATTACACAAACTACCAACCACACGGGTTGAATAACAACATGAAATGTTACTATGGTGGTGACAATAATGAAGTCACGTAAGCTACGTGTCCTGCCTCTGACATTCTGAGTATGGCAGTTCAAAGATCTGATGATAGAAATTAGGTTCACGATTTCAATCAAAAGTACGCATTCTGAATTTTCGAAATGTACAAATTAATTCTAGTAAGAGAAGGACTAATGTAATTACAATTCAAATTCGAAATTCGTATTACACATGGAGCTACAATATCATTTCATTACCTACCTTTCGCTCATTAAATAAGAAATATACGTACGCCACGCGTAGCTGGAAGGGCCCACATAATTTATTAAATCACGTGATCCTGACAGACTAATTGCTCACCTAATATACGCGTTTAATTGATGGAACTACCTACTTCAAATTAATCATACAAAATCTGTCACGCTTCCACTAATTGTTTTACAGATTTTTATTTCGCTCTTGAAGTGTAAATTTTCCGCATATATCTCAATCGTTTTTGCGCCGGATTTGTGAGGGATTTCGAACACCCTCTTACAATTCAATAAGTGGTACTTTTACTTTTAACCGCTGTTTTTGAAGTTTACACAATTCGATGACTTTACACGTGTTGCGTAAATTGAATTGGGCAATTTAATGATTTTTTTAGAAAGAACCCAAAGTAATCGTAATTGCAGTCAACCCTTAACCAGTGTAGCATTAAGAGATTACTTTATAAGTATGATAATCGATTTCCGCTTGAATAATTCACTGTATATCTTCCAGATCATAGGATATAGGCCGTCGTTATTAACAATGAGATCAATGTAATTCTAACGTAATCCGCTCGGGGATATCAAGCAACCCTTACGAAAGAAAGCTGTGTTTTCTATAGAAATCATATTTATCAAAGATGCATGGACCAGTAATTATAAACGTATCGGAATTTATTTTATTTAAACTTAAACGCCAAATGTAACCGATATAGTTCACGTACTAACCCCAAAAGCAATTCGTTTCGCTGATATCGACAGTAAAGCAATCGAGACCGGATTAATAACTGATCCAAAATACAGACAATTTTCCAGAAAAAGTTGCGTTTTCGGTTGTATTTTCCATGATGGCGCTCTTATGGTACGCAAAAAAAATCTCGCACTTTGGAGGATAAAAATTTGGATTTATTAGTACAAAAGTGGCCTTTATTTTCTTAATCACCTTTGTTATCTCGTGTATTATGTACGACCACCGACTAAAATAATGATAATCGGAAGCTTACTGCCACTTAGGCAACCAACCATAGACTATATAAATGGCAACGTTGAAATGTAAGTCTTCAATCTCGTTTTTCTCTCCATTAAAATAAAAACTTGTTTTAAGGTTATTTTCCAATATCTTTTTTTGAACAAATACTCTAAGTTTTGGTGATCCAGTTTTGTTACACATTGACAAAAAAGGAGTAAAAAAATAAAACTTAAAGTTTTAAATACTACCTGTGTTGTTTTAATGGCTATTCAATCATAAAATAGTATATTAAGATACAAGTGTATAATCAAGTCTTTAAAGCACGCGCAACGAGTTTAAGGGCACGACGCAAAGCGGAGGGCCTTTAACGTTGCAAGTGCTTTAAAGACCAATTATACACGTGTATCTTATAGTATTTTTTATTATACCTGCAGTATAATTTAAAAATAGGACATACAATGAAATCATATTGACGTTATACTCGAATACATGTCGAATTAAGTGGGCTGGGTGTTCGTAATTTCACGATTGCCATGGAAATGTCACTTGACGTTTGCTTATAAAAATCATCGTCTTTGTGAATTAAACTATTTCCGTTGAAAAAGATAATACCGTCCATTAAATCGATTGTTGTAAAATCTAAACAAACGTTGGTAGGTGTAAAATCCAACTCCAGTAAAGCCTATTATAAAGAATATGAAAAGTTGTTTCCATGGATGGAATAGGAAGTTACTTACGAATAAAGTCTTAAATGCATCGATAATGCTGGCATATATGAAGGAAATGTCAAAGGTATTTAAATCTTCTATATTTTGGTGCATTCATTCAAAACTTCCAAGGAATGTTGCGATTAAAAAGTGGAACAGATTTGGAAGCATACCCTAAATTACGCGCGTTTGTAAAAGCTTCAACCAAAGGATAGGTACAAGCCAAAGAAATGTTCTGCATTTACAGAAAGCGACTTAGGAAGATTTTTTATTTCGCCCAGATGACAGTTTCAAAAGTCATACTTGAAGTATCGTTACTTAGCAACTTTAAAGCACGTGTGTTTTAAAGGCCTTTTTTTCACTACTAGCGTCTGATGACATGATTATTAACCTTTTTTCCACTTGTAAAGTAGGCTTTCTCGGCATTTGTTCAAAGTGGTTAATAATTTTTTATTATTAACTAGTAGTCAATAATGAGAACTGTCATGCTGTCACTTTTAGAAAACACAACCCGAAATTTCGCTCAATGAACGTTTAGACAAGTTCTCTAAAACGAATAATTGCCACCATTCGCAATTTCCAGAGAAATTACATACCTAAAATTATCACATTTTGAAAAAATTCGAACGAAATTACTCTTTGAAAAATCTCAATGACAGAACAAAATACGGCCTGTTTGACTTGTACTTCCACCTACTTGATTGACATGTTAAATTAAGAAACAAACAATTCTGTCCAACCGTTAACTCTCTTATCAATATAATATGTTAATTTAGAGGATTTCAAGTGCTAGTAGTGAAAAAAAATAGTATATATACCACGGTAGAGAAGTCTATTATTGCCTTCGCACCTTACACCCCTCGGCGCAAGCGCCTCGAGATGTAATCTTGGTGCTCAGGCAATAATAGTGGACTTCTCTACCTTGATATATAATGTACTATTTTCGCACGCATTTGAATGTTTAAAACGGAGATTGTGATTCAGGTATAATAAAAAAGCGTATGTTTTATTTGAAAAGAAAATTAGGTTGTTTCCAGCCAAACCGAAAGTGAAGAAATTGTAATTATTGTTAATGAATCCTTTTCATAACAAGTAACTGATGAAGAGGTAATTTATACTCCCTCGGCATTTAAAATGATATTTCCTTTTAATGGATGAACCATAATATGAACACACTGCTTATATCTACGAGTAATAAGTAATTGACAACGTATTTATTATCATTTCCATATTAGATTGTGTCAACCAATACGCAAAATTAAATTTGTCCAGAATATAATACATAAAGTCAGTATTCGGTACGGCCGTAAGTCGGCGACCAATAAGGAAATGAGAAGGAGTTAGTACTTGTAAGTAAACATTCTATTTCAACAATTACTGTTAAATACTCTTCATATGTAAGTAGGTAATGCATCGCCTAAAATACGTTTTAGATGAAATTTAGTTGATTTTACGCCTGCTTCTGCTAGGCCGTTGAAATGTGGTGATGAAGCTGGGGAAAAATGCCATTTAATCCCTTCATAAATTAAAGACTTTTTAACTTGATCGGCATTTTTGTTAAGAAATTCAAACATAGTTTTTAAGTCATTATTTGCTCCTATAAAATTACTACCATTGTCACTGAATATGTTATGTGGTTTTCCTCTTCTAGATGCAAATCCTCTAAACGCAGCTAAAAATGCGTTAGTAGAGAGATCAGACGACAATAATTCGAGATGACAGACCTTAGTAGAAAAACAATATACAAATATATGCTTTCGTTATTTTGCATCCTCGTCCTTGTCTATCTTTTAATTTAATTGGACCGCAATAATCAACCGCACAATAGGTAAATGGTGGTGACGGAGTGACTCTAAACTTTGGCAACTGTGCCATTATAGGAGCAAAAGAATTTGCTGCGTGTCTACGACAAATCACGCAATTTTTTATTACTGTTTTTGCAGTTATACGCGCAGACAATGGCCGAAATCTTTCTCTTATAATAGCAATGAGAGAATTAGGGCCGCAATGTAAATTCTTTATGTGTTCATATTTAAACAAAAGTTTAGTAAAGTAATGTGATCGGGGGGGATTAATTGGATGGTTTTTCTCATATGCAAGTAAAGCTTTACTGAATCGACCTGTAAGTTTTATCATCAAGCCATCATTATCGAGAAAAGGCATTAATGAATTTAATTTACTACGCTTAGGACATTCCCGACAAAAGGGCTTGGTACTGATTAGGAAACCCTTGTTAAATTACCTTTACGATTTTATTAAGTGCATTATTGCGTTCAATTAATGAAATATGTCCAGTATTAATTTTAGAAGAATTCCCACTGTTATTGATAAATCTTAAAACCCAACACATTACTGATACTAGTTTATTAAAATTCGAAAATTTTGAAATTAAATTACTTATTTGGTTTTGAAATTGCACTAATGTTAATATTATAGGTTTTGGAGTTTTTAACTCAGGTAGGTCAATATTATTATCATTGCATTCTGAAAAATACTCCGTGGTACTACATAACCTTTCTGGGGCAAACCACCATAAACTATTAGATATTATTTCCTGTGGATATAAACCACGAGATATTAAATCCGCAGGATTATGGTTTGTTGATACATACTTCCACGAATATAAATTAGTTAACTCCAATATTTGGTAAATACGATTCGCAACAAATGTTTTTAATACGTTAAGTGGAGTACTTATCCATCTTAGAACAACAGTAGAATCGGTCCATAAAATGCAATTATCAAATTGAATTCGAGACGATTTGAGTACTTTATTTACTAACTCCGAAAGTAATACTGCACCACAAAGCTCAAGTTTGGGTATTGTTAATTCTTTAACTGGGGCAACTCTGGACTTTGCTGCAAGTAAATGAAATTGCACATTTCCAAATTTGTCTGCTGATCTTATATAACAACAACCGCCGTATGCTAAACGACTAGCATCGCCAAAACCATGCATCTCATTTATAATTGAATTCGGTAACCGTGTACAGCGTGGTACTTTCAGATTATTTAATATTTGTAAAATCTCGTTGAATTCTTTCCATTGAATCTATAATTCATGTGGTATGGTAAGGGTTCATCCCAAGATAATTTAAATTGCCACAAATTTCGCATAAAAATTTTTGTTTTATACCTACCTATTACGGGTGCAATTAGTCCTAATGGCTCAAAGAGTTGGGCGATGTATGATAATACATTTCTTTTAGTCAGTGTATTTGGAATTAGGGCTGTATCAATTTTAAATCATAGTTGATCTTAATGTAACCAAGGTAATTCAAGAGTTTTTAATAAGTTAGAAGAAACTATCTGAAACTGTTAGATGCTCAATATTTTTAAATAACGAATTATTAATACTTTGAATTATTTCGGAGCTATTAGATGCCCACTTACGTAACGGCATTTTTGCAGATTGTAATATGTTATAAATGTCCTTTGATGTTTGAATTAATTCTTAAGCAGAATCACATCTGGTTAATAAATCATCTACGTAGAAATCTTGAAGTATTAGCTATGGAAGCTTTCGGAAAAATTGCTTGTGACTCTAATCGAAGTTGCTAAAAAAGGTGCACTTGCTGTTCCATAAGTAATTGTATTTAGTTTATAAGTTTTAATATTATCTTTTGGATCTTCTCTCCAGAAAACTAATTGAAATTGCCTATCTTTATCATCAACAATTATCTGCCTGTACATTTTTTCTATGTCTGCACTTACAACGAATAAATTCTGGCGAAATTGAATCAAAATTGAAAATAGATCTGATTGAATAGTTGGTCCAACCATTTGTAAATCATTTAGTGACTTACCGGATGAAGTAAATATTTCCGTAAGCCTTTTTTTTTCAGCCGAAAAAAAAAATTGACTCAAATCGGCCGAAAAAAAAAATTTCTTATAGAATGTGGTCTGTAGAATCCATAATTTCAAACAGTTCCAAGATTGGGCTACTAGTTCAAAAGTTACAGCCCTTTGAATTTTCTTACGAAATTGGTTTCTAGTCTATAACTTTTGATTGAGACGTCTAATCGAAAAAGTACGAATTGTTTTGGATTCTACGCACCAAAATTAATACGAAAAAGTGTTTTCCCGAGAAATTTTGGTGTAGTCGATTTTTGATAAAAAAAGAAGGTTGTTACACTGCCTTTTTTTTTGGCCGGAAGAAAAAATTGTCTCAGATCGGCCGGAAAAAAAATTTCCTTATAGAATGTGGCCTGTAGAATCTATAATTTCAAACAGTTCCAAGATTGGGCTACTAGATCAAAAGTTACAGCCCTTTGAATTTTCTTTCGAAATTGGATTCTAGTCTATAACTTTTGATTGAGAAGTCTGATCGAAAAAGTACGAATTGTTTTGGATTCTACGCACCAAAATTAATAAGAAAAAGTATATTATATAGCAAGGGACTAAAGTGCACGATTTAATCCCGAGAGTGGAGATTATTGCCCGAGCGTTAGCGAGGGCAATAACCACTTGAGGGATTAGATCGCACTTTAGTCCTGTGGTATATACGCAATTTTTTGCCCTCCCGGATAATGTAACTAAAAACTTAGGTAGATTCCAACAATTCAATTCAACGGAACCTAAAGGAATTGACCTTTTAAAAAAAGCATTAGTAAGCTTGGTTAGGTAACCAAGGTAATAGGTGTAAATAAAACGCACCATTTTGCATTTCGTGATTTAAGGAAGCAAGAAACATGACTGAGAATGAATGTAAGGAACCTCTTGGCATAAAGATGGCAGCTGCACGAGCGGTCGAGAGCCTTTTACCCACGAAAGTCGAAAAATTTATATAACAAGCGGTACGAAGAATTTAAAAAATGGTGTGCAAGTAAAACTGTACAAGAATACACTGAAAATTAAACGTACTCGCTAATTTTGAAGAGAAACAGCAAGGGTTTTCTCACCTTCTTCGCTGTGGTCCTTGTACTCAATGCTCAAGGCCACAATATTGATCAAGAAAAACATCGACATTAGTAGGTTTCCAAAACTAATTGCGTTTATCAAACGTCAAAATGACGGATATAAACCGAAGAAATCCAAATTGCTTACGAGAGAAGAAATGGACAGGTTTTTAAAAGAGGCTCCAAATGATAAATATCTATTGTCCAAGGTAAATTGTTAATATTCTACTAACAACGTTGAGTAATTTTGTAATCTTTTCAGACAGAAGTAATCTTAACATTGTGGAATTGTGCAGAAAATATATGTCACTTAGGAAGCCGAACACGAATCATGACCGATTCTTTGTTTATTATAAAGATAATGAGTGCACTGTCCAACCGATTGGAAAAAATACGAGTACGTTTAATGCAAATAGTAGCACCAGCACAAAAGTTGCCATTAAAGAAGAGGAAATGGTGAACATGTTGCTCCAATTATTAATCTACATAATTGTGAAAATTATGTTATAAACGTTAATATAACTAAATAAATATTGACAAGACTTGTCAAATTCGCTTCATTTTTTGGTTGTTATGGGAACACTTTTTATCCCTTGGGATTAAAAGATCAACTTTAGTCCCTATTCCCAGAGACTAAAGTAGCAAGTTTAATCTCGGGAGGGCAAAAAATGTTTTCCCGGTTAAAGGTTATACTATGTTAGTCCAGTCAACCTGTGTTTTTAGTGGGAAAAAAATAGTATAAAGCTAATGTTTTCACCATCGACTACTACCATTTAGACAAGTGTTTAAAAAAGTCCCCACCCCTACCCCCCTTGCTTCCCTCCCTGTGCCCCCCTAAACATGAAAAGTGTAAGGGTTTCTTAAATCGCGTCTCTCTCGATTACTAAACAACATATCGGATTGCAATTTGTTTTATTCTCTTTGCTATAACATTGTCTACAAATAAGGTTGACTTTCGTCGTAACTTTTACCGTTTGTTGGTAATGACTATGAAAAGGTAAAAAGTATATTTTTCGGCACGTAATTTTACTTTTTGTCGCACTTTTCACGCCGACATTTTATCAAAAAATGCCTACAAAAGTTGTAGCTCCCATTATTACCTTTAAAATTATATGACATAGTACGTACTTTGTTGAAGAGCCTGCGAGATTCAGCCGGTGTAATGCAGAATGCGTACCCAGTCGTGGCGGGCTTCGTCGAGGTGGGCCCGGCGGCGCGGCATTGCAATGCTAATATTGTTGTATAGTGAGTGTTTTTTTTTAACTTTAAGGTACACTATTGCATTTTCTCTAAACAAAACCTAAATTCCACCCTTTTTAAATTTGTGTCAAATATTAATAAGTCCTTGTATAAGTACAGCTAAAAAACGTATTTTAAATAGTTTTTTGTTTGAAAATGCATGTAATATTTCGTTTATGTTGAAGAAAATAATTGCGGTATCTTAATTTTTTTTATTAAAAAATAAATTGATGTTGACCATTTCCGATTTGTTCTCGTTGATTTTGCCTTTGCCGAATAAAGAAGACGTGGTATCACATTCTGTGATAGCATAAAAAAAATAATATCACATCCTTCATATCACCAATCTCTTCACGGGTCTTGCCGATGTCATAGGTTGATGGTATGCCAGAGGGTTTGTGGAAGAAGAGTTGTACATTTTGGCACTGTGGTAGCCCTAAGAATAGAACGAAAAGATCGGAATCCTGTCCGACAACAACTGTAGGCCTCACACTTTGAATCTGGGAGTCGGGAGACACTATTGCTCTTCCAAAATCAACGCATACAAGTTGCTAAGTTCATCAAATGACAGTTTTATGAAAAACAGGCAGACAAAAATATTCTCAAAGAGGTAGGAGAGGTTTTTTTCTTGAAAAAAATATGGATGCACAAGGTCTGCATGTCTGATATTCAATGTAACTTAAAGCTGTTGCAAAAATGTCATTAAAATCCAAATTTAACATCGCATCCCTCCCTCCAACATCTGGTGCTGCTGAACAACACGCTTATCGTCTATCGAGCATACTATCAGATTCAAAACTGGATCCTGCAACTGCAAAAAGGCTTGCAAAAGTAATGGCAGCTGCTTTAAAGCATCACTTGTTGCACAGAAATGTGTGGGAGCTGTGGCGGATCATGCAGTAATGTAACTTTGGTTGAAGTCAAGGAAAATGAAGAACTTGTCCTGGAAGTTTAGGAAATCGGAAATGGTCAACATCAATTTATTTTTTAATGTGAATAATCTGAAAATATTTTTTACTTCAAATTAAGATACCGCAATTAGTTTGTTCTAAAATAACATAAAAAAAATATTACATGCATTTTTAAACAATAGTTATTTACATAAAAGTCAGGTAAATGATACATTACTGTCGAGTACTTTAATTTCCGAGTCAGGTAATGTCATTTTACTGACGAGGTTTGTATGAAATTTTACCCGAAATCGTATTTTAATATCAAATTTCAATTTTTATATAGAACTTTTGATTAATGTCAGTCTCAGTGATGACAGGAGTCTTTATAGACATTTGGAAATGTCACAAATGCGGCCGGTAATTGGTAAAGTGACGGTGCGGCCGGTAAAGTGACAGGTGCGGCCAGTAAAGTGACAAACGGCAGGAAACGTAGTCTGCTCTGCCTCTGTCATGGAAACTAAAATTTCCTGACAGAAAGTAAGCATGAAAATGAAGGTTTCAGGACGATTTTGGGTAATAGAAAACTATTTAAAATACGATTTTTAGCTGTATACAAGGACTTATTAATATTTGACACAAATTGAAAAAGGGTGGAATTTAGGTTTTGTTTAGAGAAAATGCAATAGTGTACCTTAAAGTTAAAAAAAACACTCACTATACAACAATATTAGCATTGTAACGCCGCGCCGCCGGGCCCACCTCGACGAAGCCCGCCACGACTGGGTACGCATTCTGCATTACACCGGCTGAATCTCGCAGGCTCTTCAACAAAGTACGTACTATGTCATATCATTTTAAAGGTAATAATGGGAGCTACAACTTTTGTAGGCAACATTTTTTGATAAAATGTCGGCGTGAAAATTTCTGCGACAAAAAGTAAAATTACGTGCCGAAAAATATACCACTTTTTACCTTTTCATAGTCATTACCAACAAACGGTAAAAGTTACGACGAAAGTCAATTGAAACTTATTTGTAGACAATGTTATAGCAAAGAGAATAAAACAAATTGCAATCCGATATGTCGTTTAGTAATCGAGAGAGACGCGATTTAAGAAACCCTTACACTTTTCATGTTTAGGGGGGCACAGGGAGGGAAGCAAGGGGGGTAGGGGTGGGGACTTTTGGCTAAACACTTGTCTAAATGGTAGTAGTCGATGGGGAAAAAATTAGCTTTATACTATTTTTTTCCTTCAACGGGTGTTTTACGACACAGGTTGACTGGACTATGTGTGCGTTTACAATGATCGTATACGTAAATATTATCATAAACCGTATATTACAAGTCGTACATAACTTTGAAACATTTTCGTATCGTTTCCGTAAATTACGTACTTCGCTGTTTACAATAATTGTACGCAACTTAGATAACATATTACAAGTAGATATGATATTTGACCGTACATAACTTTGAAACATTTTCATACTGCTTTGCGTTTACAATGATATACGTAAATATTTCATTAACTCGTACATATCCGTATCGTTTCCGTAAATTTACTTCGCTGTTTACAATAAACCAAAGATCATATTACAAGTAGTATGATATTTGACCGTACATAACTTTGAAACATTTTCAACCTTTGCGACTATGCGCAAGACTTACATATACGTACGTAAAAATTACGTTCATTGTAAACACCTTCGTATGTTTCTATACAGTTCAACTTTGCGTTTTATGTATTTCTTACGTATACGTTCATTGTAAACGCACACTTAAAGTTGCAAATAACGAACGTTTTTATTTACAGAATGTACTAATTTTCTGATCGCTTCAGATGATTCTGTTTTGCAGTATGGTAACTTCAATAATGATTTTATGTGATTATCTATAATTACTTCTTCTTTATTAAATCGTTTTGGGAGAAGTTCCCATGCCACAGTATAGTTATCATCGGAAAGCGTGATACTCTGAATGATTCTTAAGGCTTTATCTGATAATGTTGATTTTAAATATTGAAATTTCTGCACATTAGAAAGATTTGAGTTACTATGTATCTATAATTGCTGAAAAACGGTCACGACGAAAAGGTTTTGTTTTGTTGTTGTCAATTGTTTACAATTAGTGAACCCTAAAACAACCTTTTTCAACAATTCTGCCGATAATTCTTGCAAATCGACGAAGTGTGGAATTTTTTTTCAAAATTTGAAGAATTTTCTTAATTAACAAATTGAATAATTCCCGAAATATAACAAGAAATGTAACTCCATAACAGGCGAATGGAAAGCTCTCGGAAATAAGTCCAAATCCGATGAATCAGCTTTTGCCTTCGAGACAACCAAAAATGTTTTTGTATATCGGGAGTTAGGAGTGAAATATGAAAAAATGGTGTACCAATTCTTGCGACACCAATAGTTCTTTGGGGAGTTGTTTCATGTAGTTTTTTTGATGTTCAGCTTTTATGTGGTAAAATGAAATTAATTACCGAAAAAAAAAAGCGCGTGTACTGAAGAGTTAAAAACATAATAGCATGATATTAAGATTATTATAGTATCATAGTGTTGTGGTACATTCAGGTATTATTCACAAGATGAAAAACAACCGATTTATTTTTAAAAAAAAGAAAAAACGTGCTGATTCGGCACGTCTGTACTTTTTGCATTAATATAAAATTGTATTGGGGATCGGGATCTTTAATTTAAATTCCCCATAAAATCCGATACTTTGTAGTCCATTATAGGAAACCGAATGTAAGGAATTACATCGGTCTTTTATTCAGTGCACGCGATCCTTATTTATGGAGATATTTTACACTATATATACGAAATCTCCATTTGCAGGTTTACTCTCATTTCGCGCTCCGCCGTCTTATAATAAAGCGCCTGTTGAATACATGAAACTTAAATTTTCATTTGTAAACGTGCATAAATCAAAGCGGGGGTTGTATACTACAATTATCACAATAAAATAAGAAAGCGGGCCGATTTTTGTTCGGACCGTTGATGAAGCTTGTTGAAATTAACTTAATCGATCGAGAGTTCGTTACGGCCTCCTTTCGTAATTAACAAAAAACTTGGCCTTATTTTTCCTATGCCGTCAAAGCTTCAATTTCCTTTTAATAAGCAAAGTACTAATTATCAAACACTTCAGCGGCGAGCTTTGAATTTTCACTGTAAATAACTTGTAGCTTAATCAAATGTAATAGAAAAACACCAATCGGAAGTTGGTTGATCTGAATAGTAGAACAAAATAATAAAGCTGTTGATGGAATCTACAAATCACATCGGATCTAGGGAGAAACCGGTGGTTGGTAAATTGCTTTAAAATTTACTACTTTACTCGTAAAATGTTTGGAAAACTCAATTTCACTTACCATTTTGTCGTTTATAAACCAAGTTAAATTAAAGTGTGGGTATGCAGGTGGCGAGGAGCAGTTTCCACTTAAAGTGTATCCAACTTCATACGAATCTTTTTCGATTTTGATCTGAGGTGTCCCACTCGGCATCTCTGAAACAAAATGAAGTGGATATCAGAGAGCTTTGTAAAAACTGTTGATAATATGCTACAGTTTGGAAAGTTGTATGTGAAGGGTGTTAAAGCCTAATACACATGTTGCACTGAAAATTAACAATGTGATTGAGTAACAGTGCCTAAAATTGCATTGCACATACTCTCTAGAAAATGTGTAGTCTTAATCATTTAGGGTAGGCCGAGGGGTAGACTGATCAATGAATGAAGAAATAATGTAAAATATATACACACGGTGTCCATTTTTCGAGTGCCACTATGGGGATCTCGCTTACCTTAAGAGATAGAAATTTGCGAATTTCCCTGCTGAATAATCATCTGAAAAGAAATTTAAAATATCATCCATCAATAGTTCTGAAAATATTGCAAAAAAACGAAACTTTCTGATTTTCGTTTGTAATTTTTTCATGATAAACTAGTCGTACTAGACATTTCTAATTAACACATTATTCGAACACTTTTCGAATGTGACATCTCGTTTTAAATAACTTTTAGAGAAACACGTGGCAATTTTAGTTTTTCTTATGGGCGCCATTTTTAATTTTGAGATTTTAAGATTACGTCTTTTTTTCTCTTTACGACGATATTATCACAGTTCAGTATCACATTTTTCCTAAAATACAATTTTTAATTTTTTGAGAAGAGTGCTTTGGAAAAACAAAACGTTCATTTATTGTGAACAAAAGTTTGACAGTTTGATGCATATGTCCGGTTGCAGCATTGGCATCAGGGAACTAGATGTGTTGAGAAAATTCGATTTTCATATGAACAGAATTGAACCTTCGTTTTAAAAGAAAATTATAATTCAAATTAGAACAAAATACATAAGAATAAATAATATTTTAGCAATAAAACTAGCACAAACGTAAATGACACTGCTTGAAATAGGTCAACATTTTGTTCACAACAAAACGTTGTTTTGTTTTTGCATAGCACTCTTCGCAGAAAATGAAAAAAATATTTAAAAAAAATATTATTACTATTATTATTATTAAAAACGGGATGCCATATTCGAAATCTCCATTAAAAAGTGTCTGAATAATGTGTTAATTAGAAATGTCTAGTATAATTAGTTTACCATGAAAAAGTTAAAAATGAAAATCAGAAATTTTCGATTTTTTGCCATATTTTCAAAACTATTGAAGATATTATAAATTTATTTTTAGATTATTATTCAGCACGAAAATTCGCAACTTTGCCCTAATTTAACCAAGTTTCTATCTCTTAAGATAAGCGAGATCCCCATAGTGGCACTCGAAAAATGGACACCGTGTATATATATATAGTTCCATATTAAAATGTGACATGTCTGTCGACCAATAGAATAACAGGAAACGGTTTTTTCTTGCACAAGCCAAAGATGGAAAACACTAAGGAGGGTATTTACAGCTTTTCCTGGTGCGCCCTAAATACTACTATGTAAACAACGTCAAGTAGTCGTTATTTCGCTATAAACACCAAAAATAATTACGAGGCACCCTGTATATGATCATATTTGAATTTATTAGGTGTAAAGCTGGTGTATTATTTACGAATAAGAACAAAGTTGGTTTATTGTACTTGAATTTGTTATCTCAGTGTCTATTTTTGTTTGTATTGGCGTGTTAAGATGTGTGAACACCTGGTCGTTTGCGATAAAGAGCTTTATTGGACGAAATTTAATTAACACACGTGTTTTATTGCTGATAAGAGGCGTTCCGTAGATTTGGGGGTTATTTTCGGCGTAAGTGGGGAGGCGTTTCTTCGAAGCTGGCGTTATCAGCTTTAATTGTGATTGGCAGTTGGTTTTCCCTTAAATACTGGAATCAACGTAAAAAACGAGGCTGCTCCGAGCTGTTAATTCTTGCGACGGGTAAAGAACGTGTAAATTTGTTTACGCTAGATCTCGGACTAGTAGTTTGTTGAAGGCGCCGTTCGTCCGTCTGTTTGACCATATTGGGAAAAAGTTAGTTCGGGTGTGAGTAAACAAAGTAGTTGTCTGCTTAAGCGCGTTTTACATGATGAAAGTTATTCCATGAAAGTCGAAAGTGAAATAACTTTCCGGAAATTTTTGAAGTGACAGATGTGCTTTACTTCTGCACTTACATATGAAATTTTGCTCATACCAACCTAAAACAATATATGTTAGATTTAGCAATTGCTTTGATTTCTAGCGCCGATAAGGTAATCCAGATGCTGTAACTGGAGATATTTAAATTATCTTTGCAGCATCCGAAATCTCCCTTCGATTGGAAGAGGAGGGAAAGTTAATATTGTATGTTAATATTTATTAACCGATTTTAAATTCCCACTGTTAAACGAATACGAGCATTAAAACTGCAAGGCAGTGCTGTTTTTATTTTAATATCGCAAACCTTTTGCGATTGACCCGAAATTCAATCTAACCATAGGTTATGGAATTTAGAAATTTTAACTGGGCCAATTAAGTGAGTATAATTAACCGTAGTTAATTAAATATGTTGTACAGGGTGAGTCAACGATTGCGCGGAGTAACTTAATGCCTTGAAGATAAGATTTTCCGATAGAGTGCTTTTGTATTATGATATGGTTGAATATTCTCCACATTTTAAAGATTTTGGAATTATACAGGGTGCGCCCACAAAGTAGGGCGCCCAAATGGTACATTTTTTTAAATAGAACCGCCTGTATTTTAATGCATTTTTGAATTCTACGTGTAATTGTACGTCTTTTGTATTATATGGTTAATATCCGAAAAGCTAGTAGTTTTAAAAATAATTATATTTTTAAGAAAAATTGGGCATTTGCAAGCATCAGTATATTGGCAAAATTGTCAATTTAAATTTTGATTCCAGGTTTTATCTTTTATCCTGGGTTAAGTAAAAGTCAAATAAATACATCTACTATAAAACATTAAAAAAATAGCTTACAGGGTGTTTTTTTTCTAGATCCAAGGTTACAAAACTTCATATTAAAAAATCTCACTTTTTTTTAAATGGAACACCCTGTATATTTTTCTGTCATCTTTTAGCTCCTCCAAAAACCTTCAACTTTTGATAATAATATCCTATACCTATCTCTGATAGTTTTCGAAACATCTTGGTTTTCCTGGGTATTATATTCTAATCTTAAATAAGTTATATGTAATTTACATAATAGTGAGGTAGCCATGCAAAAAAAGGATAAACATTAAAAAAATAGCTTACAGGGTGTTTTTTTTCTAGATCCAAGGTTTATCCGCGTCGTTCAAAGCTAAAATCATATTTATTAATTCATTTTTTTAATAATTCATTTAGGTCTATAAAAACGTGGAAGCTCAATTTTATTTAGTGCAAGTGGGATTTTCAACCCCTTGTAAAAGTAACTACGCCGTAACAGATGGAACTTCCTGGATTTCTGTTCGCCTATAATTTTTACTTCACAGCGGCACCGATCTAAGCTTAAGATTTCAAAGTACTCCCAGTCTGCGAGTTCTCAGAGTCAGAAATATCTTCAGTTCGTGTATGCACCTGCATTAGTTTGTACTTTCTTGGGTTTTGGGCAGGGGTGTACGGGGAGCTGAATGTATTTATAATTTAAGACACAAATTCTTGGTATTGAGTATTGTGTGCTCATTCTGAAATCTGAGAAAGAATGGAAATGCTATTTATTAACAAAAAAAAAAGAAATTAGAAATATAAATAAAATAAAAACCTACTGTCTGCCTATGTGGTAGGTATATTTTCTGGCGAACTCGCATACTTGGGGTAGTGGGTTGCAAGGATAGAAATTGATAAAATCCCGCAGAAGCATTTAATTAATTTTTTACAGCGTTATATGTACGGCAAATTTTGTAATAAACAAAAAAAGTGGTCGCGCTATGTAAATTAGCGTAAAAGTATCGGCAACAGCCGTTGGAAATGTTTAAAAATGACAACCCATTTCGTATGCATTGAATATATCTATAAAAACCTGAAAAATGAAATTCTCTTACGACAAGAAAATTGAACCTTTATATTTGGTGGTCTTATTAAATTTAAATTTTAAACTTAATTTGAATCACGTAAAATCTTGTACATCAAAAGGCGCTCCATCGAAAAGAGAAAATGTAGTATTTGTACGTTTTGTTTAACATGCATTCATAAATAATAAGCTCGGTATTAAAAAGGCCATTTAAAATGTTTCTCGTATACCACATAAGCCATTTAATACAATTTATGAAGCAACATTTTTTAAACGGGAACGCTGTACTAAAAGCAATTATAAATAATAATTCTTTAACCGAAATATCTAGGCTCGACTCGGGCGGGTGTATTAGAAATGAGAAATCAATTCCTCCAGATTTATCGTTGTGGTCAACGAGGTGGAAGTTAAGGTCTAATTGGACCATATGTGCCCCCACAAAAATACCTCCCGAAGGGAAATTAGATTAAATAAAACGCGAACATATATCACCAATATTACATTTTATCGCACTCCCCTAAAACTCAACTCGTAAATTCACCCCTTTACTTTTAGTTCGTTCCACTATTATTTTTTAACAGAGAAGAATGGGCGTAATTCTTTTGGATAAAAGCAACTTCGACCTACTTACCAGCGTAGATTATTCGCTATACTAAATCTTTAACTTGAAGAAACATTATCATGCTCGCCTCTAAAAAAAGGGGACGTTTGTTAAAATCGAAGTAGTTCCCTTAAATTAAAACTTTCAAGCTTAGACGGAAAATATTTCGCGGTCATTGTAGAATCAGATGATTTATGGATTCAGTTGTAAATAGTCATTAATTCTCAAAAAGTTGGAGGAAAACACATTTGTTACGTTGTTCCATGTTAATCATTTTTACGTAATTAATTATATTTGGGGGGAAATTTTAATCCGCAAAATTTATGCGGAGTAATGCAAATTTGAGACCAATGTTTCAAACTTCATTTCTCGGGCGTGGTTTAAATATACTTGTTTTATCTTCGGTAATTATTCCGTTTTTCCTCGACTATAACGGAGGGATGGGATCGGTGCTTTTTTTTTAAGTATAAAAACGTTT